AACACTGTGTCAGAATGACACACAAGGTACATCTGTGTATTGGCCTTCATTTGCCTAGCATACTTACATTTGACAAATGGAGAAGTTGAAAATGCAGAAACTTGGAAAAGATTGTCAGGTCATTGTGCTAAACCTCCCAATCCTAATACCAAACTTGTACAGCTCATGGACCTATGGCAGCCGCAATCAGAGATTCTACTGCTTCTAAGTTTAAGTGAATCAAACTATGTTCTTACCTTACCCCTCTGACTAAAGTCAGCTTACCGACATTCTTGCCATCCTCCCCACTTAAAATCTACTTAAAATCATTAGTGACTTACTCTAGTCTGGTTAGAGGATGTAATTTCCAATGATCTTCCTCTTCATCGAAGAAGGATCTATTCATAATTTTACTTTTTTCTTCCAGAGGGATAAAGTTTTCTATAATAAGATGCCTGTAAGAGCACATATACATGGGTGAATATAGATGGAGAAAGAAAACAAATGGAGTACTGGCTGTTAGATCCTGCATGTAGTGAGTGATCAGTAAGTCCCTTAGCAAACATTTACTGAGCGGGTGCTATGGGCCTACCATCAGACAAAGAGCTAGGATACACTTGGTCCTGGCCTGAGACAGAGCTAATGGGATGGCTTCTTAGGTATGACAGATGCTGATAGTGGTCTGCTGTAGGAATATGGAGAGGCCACTTGTGCCTGGGGAGGAACAGCTTGAGCAGGTGAAAGCACTGAAGAGGCAGGTGATGTCTGGGCAATACTGGAATGAACATGTGAACATGTGAAGTGCCTTTCACAAGGCCACCGGTGTTGCTAAACCCAGCCTATTAACTTACAAAAGGCTGAACACAGGAATTAAACTGCCTTTCTCCAATCCCATGGATTGGTTGCCCTAGCTGAAAATGTCACTTTTTGGTGGAAAATATCACTTTTTAATCACTAGAACTAAGAGCAGGACCAAATGGATTTTAGTCTTTTAAAGCAGTAATAATGAAGATCATTCCCAAGAGCCTCTGCCCAAAAACCACCCAGGGAATCTGGCAAGCAATGAAACTGGAACCCCAAGGTTGTGTCTCTCCTGCCATATCTCTGTCTTCACCCTTTCAAAATCTTATGACAGAACAATACCATAGGGGTGTTAACTTGGGAGAGACACACAACAAACACCACAGAGGTGTAGGGTACTGACTGAGAAACAGGTTGACTCATTGTTTATTCAAAAGATACAAATAAGAGAGATAATACTGAAAATGGCTCCCTTAGGGGAAAACTACTTTTGCAAGATGACATTTTCTTTTTAATTTGACATTTAAGAAATTCTTTTTCATAACATATATTTGGTGTTTTTTTTCATGATTATAAAGATTCTATATATGTGTTAAGGAATGTGAAAAATATAACTACACACAATTCTACTATCCAGCAATAGCTATTATTAATATTTTGGCATATTTGTTCTAATCTTTTTTCTAGGTGTAAAAACCTAAAAAGAGAACTAACACATTTAATTTTAAGGACTCATTTCCAGCTTTAAAACTTGGTCATTAAAAAGAATCCTTTTGAGGGTTAAAGACACAGTGCTATCAAGCTATTGCCAGCCTCTGCAACATGAGTTTGGTCCCCAGCCAGGGAGTTAACCCACTTGGCATAGCAGATCTCTTTTGTCTCACCCGCTGCTCCCCTTAGCAGTGATTTCAGTAGCTCTGCCTGTTCAACTCCCTACTTTGTCTTTGGTGAATCCTCTCAGCCCTCTCATCTCTGCCCTGTACCCCAGTTGTTGTATGCATAAATAAATAAATCTTTAAAAAATAAAAAAGAAAAGTTCTTCAATGATAAATTCCAGCCAATGATATGGAAGGACAAATACTTAAAAAAAAAAAAACAACTCATTTTTGCAAACCCTAATGAAATAAAGACGTCAGACAAAGATCACTGTTGGTGGAAGTCATTAGCTGGGTGACATCCGTGTCACACGTGTAGACTCTTGGAAAATATCTTTCCCACGCCTCATGAGAGACCACGGGTTCTGAAAGCATGTTCTCCAAATTGGCAGGAGTACCAACCAGAACTTTTCAGAAATGCAAATCCTCAGGCTCCATCCAAATGAATGGAATAAGTCTCTCTGGGTGTGGGACTCAGCAATTCTTATTTATTTATTTATGATTTATTTATTTATTTACTTATTTATTTATACAAGCCCTGGGTACAGTCAGAAGCGCAGGAGGATGAGAGAATTCACCAGAGTCAGAGCAGAGAGCAGAGCAGGCAGACTGACGAAATACACTGCTGAGGGAGCAGCGGGCGGCAGGAGAGGTCTGCGCGCCATGTGGGACCCTCCTCCAGTGGCCGGGGATCGAACTGGCACTGCAGAGGCTGCGGGCAGCTTCTCAACCCAGCGCTCAACCACTGCACTACACCAGGGAGGCCCAGCAATTCATATTTAACCAGCTATTCAGATGATCTGGCACCTACTAAAGTTTAAGCACTACTGCCCTAGACCAATTAAATCAGATTTCCTAGGGTAGGGACAAAGCATCACTTTTTTAAAACACTCCTCAGATGAAAATTTAAAAAACAACTAAAAAAAGCCAGGGGTGAGAGGGGTATGACTCCGATGACTTCAGTGTGCAGCCAAGGCTGACAACCAGTGCCCCAGAGCTAGCTTTCAGTTAAAGGAAAACAAGGGAGTCAGTGACACAAATTAAGTGACAGTATGAAGAACTGAACCAACAAACCCGGAATGGGGGTATCTCTAACAGGCTATCTGACCCAGCTTTTTTCAATAAGTTAACTACGAAAAGTTTTTAAAAGGAAAAGAGATTGCTGTAGATTAAAATAGCATTAAGAGACATAATAACCAGGGCCTTCCCGGTGGCGCAGCGGTTGAGCGCTGGGTTGCGAAGCTGCCCGCAGCCTCAGTGGCACCGGTTCAATCCCCGGCTGCTCCCCGGCCACCGGAGGAGGGTCCCACATGGTGCGCAGACCTCTCCTGCCACCCGCTGCTCCCCTCAGCAGTGTACTTCGTCCTTCTGCCTGCTCTGCTCCCCGCTCTGGCTCTGGTGAATTCTCTCACCCTCCCGTGCTTCTGACTGTACCCAGTGCATGTATAAACAAAACAAACAAACAAATAAATAAATAAACATGCCTCTATAAAAAAAAAAAAAAAAAAGATTTTAAGAGACATAATAACCAAATGTAATGTGTCATCTGACATAGATCTTAATATGAACAAACCAAGAAACTTTGAATATAGAGAGGGTATAATACTAAGAAACTTAATGTTAATTTTGTTAGATTTTTTTTTGAAAGATACGTATACAAAAATCAACTGCATTTCTACACATTAGCAATAAATATTCGGAAAATAAAGAAAATAATTCCACCTACAATAGCATCAAAAAATAAAATAGTTGTAAATTTAACAAAAATACGAAGACTTGCCTAATGAAAACTAGAAAACATTCTTGACATAAGATTTGAGAGCTAAATAAACGGAAACACATCTCATGTACACGGACTAGAATAATCAATACCATTAAAATGTGATAATACAGATTCAAACAGTCCTTATCAAAATCCCAGTGGGGGGCCTCCCTAGTGGTGCAGGGGTTTGTACACAACCTGTGGAGCAGTCCGCAGCCACTGCAGCACGAGTTCAATTTCTGGCGGCCAGGAAGAAACCCACATAGCGGGACAGACCTCTCCTGTCTTGCCCGCTGCTCCCCTCAGCAGTGTACTTTGGTCTGTCTGCCTGTTCTGTTTCCCACTCTCTCTCTGGTGAATCCTCTCACCCCCGCATCTCTGGTCTGTACCCCAATTCTTGTATAAAAATAAATAAATCTTAAAAAAAAAAAAGGAAGGGCCTCCCCGGTGGCGCAGGGGTTGAGCGCTGGGTTGTGAAACAGCCCGCAGCCTCTGCAGCACCAGTTCGATCCCCGCTGCTCCCCGGCCACCAGAGGAGGGTCCCACATGGCGCGCAGACCTCTCCTGCTGCCTGCTGGTCCCCTCAGCAGTGTACTTCGGTCCTTCTGCCTGCTCTGCTCCCCACTCTGGCTCTGGTGAATTCTCTCACCCTCCCGCGCTTCTGACTGTACCCATGGCTTGCATAAATAAATAAAAAAAATAAATCTTAAAAAAAAAAAAAAAAAAAAGGAAAAACAATGGCATCTTAAAAGAAAAAAAAAAAAAATCCCGTGGATATTTTTGCAGAAATTGACAAGCTTATCTTTAAATTTCTGTAGCAATGGAAGGGACCTGAATAGCCCAAAACAACAAAATTGGAAAACTCACAACTTACTCATTGTAAAACTTACTACACAGTTGCAGTAACCAATATAGTGTGGTACTGGCATAAAACAGATATATATATATGTAAAAGTATATCTGTTTTTTGACATATGTTTCAACAGTACTGAGAGTTGGGACCCTCACATATATGGTCAACTGATATTTGACAATAGTGCAAAGATGAAAGAAGAACCTTTTCAACAAACAGTGCTCGGACAACTGGACACTCACACGCAAAAGCATACATTTGGAACCGTACCTCAAACCATACATCAAAATTAACTCAAAATGGATCACGGACTAAATGCAATACCTAAAACTAAGACTCTTAGATGACCTAAGAAAGGTAAAAATATATGTCCACAATAAAACTTGAACACAAATGTTCATAGCAGCATTATTCATAATAGCTAAAAAGTAAAAACAACCCAAATGTCCATCAATGATGAATGGATAAATAAAATGTGGTATAGCCACACAATATTATCTGACCATAAAAAAAAAAAAGTACTGACATTCTTCAACATGAATGATCCTTGAAAACATCATGTTGAATGACAGGTAGTCACAAAACACCATTATTACTGCATGACTGAATTTACATGAAATGTCTAGCACATGCCAATTTATAGAGACATAAAGTCAATTAATCAGAAGCTACTTAGAGCTGGTAGAGGGGATAATGAGGAGTGATAGCAAGTCAGTTTCTTTGAGGGGGGACAAAAAAGTTCTAGAATTAGATTATGGTGATAATTAAAAAACTCTAAAAATACTTGTTTTTAAAAATGATCTGAATACTTTAAATAGGCAAACTGTATAGTATGTGAATTACATCCCAACAAAGGTTTTTTAAAAATATCATTGTGGTCATGTATGTAAGTATATATGTAGAAATGAGATTTGCTTTTAAATGTTTTTATGAACGATAGATGATAAAATGATAGATGACAAAATGTTAATCATTGAATCTAGGTGATGGGTTTTTGCATGTTCACAATACCATTCAGAAAACTGAAGTTAAAAGATTCCTCCTTATCAGTAGATAGAGGTGAAGTCAGAGTCTTTAAAAGCTTCAAAAAGGGAACAGATTATGTGGTGAAGCCATTCAATTAAGAAACAGAACCCAGATAAGGAAAATGATCTCAGGAACAAACACAAGCAGACAAGGAAGCAGGAGTAGTAGGTAGGGACTCTGTCCTCAGCGGTGTTTCTTACTTAACAATGACCCATCAAGTGGCCGGAGGGGCCATGGAAAACCAAGCACTTACTTGAGTTTCAGTTCCCTGGTGAGTTCATTCTGAGTCTGCTCTAGCTCTTGCCGCTCCTTGATGTGCTCTTCTTGGAGGTCATGGATCTCTGCCTTCACTGCCTGAAGCTTGGAGAAGAGCTGGAAACCATGGGAGAGGCAAGTGAGAAGGGTTCCCTCCAGACACAGGAGTTCTCTCTGCCCCCCTACCCACCCCAAGTCTCAAGACACTTTTGCCTTGTCCCAATCCCTTATACCTTTTTGAGTTTTTTGGTCTTGATGTCCACTTCTTGCTGCAACGAGCTGTAGGTCTCTTTAAGTTCCAAGGTCTCCTCATCTCGACTTTCCATTTGTTGCTGGATTTCTCTTTCTCGACGTTTCTGAAAACATGGCAGAAATCATCAGCTTGCCTAGAGATTGCATCTATACAATAATACAAGCCCCGAGCCCCAGATCAGGGTCTCCCACTAGGAAGGGGCTGACACATCTTGTTTCCCTTCACTTTGAAGAGTTTCATACGAGACAATTTGCTCTGTAGCATTAACACACCTTATTCCACCCCATCCCCACCCCCACCCCAAATGAGAAGTTACCTGCTCTGCAATTTCCTGCCGTTTCTGCTCCAGGATTTTCTGCTGTTCATTTGTATGATCTACTATATTTTTCCTCCAACAAGCAGCTTACTCTCCATGGCCTGAGTGAGAAAAAAGTCAAATCCATCTCATGAATGGTCTCCCTCAGAACCAGCTCCTCACAGGGAAGCCCATGAAAGATAAAGAGTTCAGGACTGAGCCAAAAGGGGCGATCTCTGGAAAAAGTATGCTGTGCTCAGCTGTGCCTTTCCCATCACTGGGTGGGGCTGGGTGCCTCCACTGAGGGCTTTACCTTGGAAATGCTGATGACCAGCTTCTTCAGACATAGATGAATTTCAGATTTCTTTAAAAAGAGGTTGTTTTTTGTTTGTTTGTACAAAGTATTGACCCCACTTTGAACATATTAAGTACCTCCTATGTGAGAGGTACTGGGGGTGCAGCTGTGAACATGAATCACAAAGCTGAGACCCTGCAGAGGTAGGCAGGGTAGGCAGACCCTTACCAGATAGAGTCAGATGTCATCAATAGGGAAAAACAGAGTAATAATGGGAGAGGCTCACTGGAGGGAGAGAACTCAGACTTTTGGAGGGAGTCAGGGAAAGCTACTGTCTCAAGGGACTGCTACACCGAGTGCAGAAGTAAAAATAGGAATTAGCTAAAAAAAAAAAAAAAAAAAAAAACTTGTGTGTGAGACGGTAGAATAGGCAGTGGTGAAAAATAAAGCTGGCAAAACAGTCAGGGGTGAGTGAGTTCAAAAACCTCAAAGTCCTGTTGAAAGACTACACTTGAGCCCGAGAATAGTAGGAAGCTCTAATAAGTTCTCTGAGCAATAGGGTGCACAATCAGATCTGTTTGGGAAATATTACTCCTTTACAGCAGGAAAAATGACTATAAATGGGCAGACAGGGAGTCAGAGCAGACAGGAGGCATTTCTCAGGTCAGCAGGGCAGTAGCAGAGGTGGACAGGCCTAGAGACCCTGACCAGGCAAGATCCAGAGTCTGGGTGGTCATGGGCATCTCTGCGGAAATATCCAGTAGGTGGAAGCTACTGGGCTTGGATGTCAGAACACAGCTCTGGGCTGGCTAGGCACACTAGAAGCCTTCAGCATTTAGATGTGACTGAAGCCAAGGGAATGATTCAGGCCTGAAGAGCAGGGAATCCAAAAACTCTATAACCTGCTGTTATACTGAGGGCCTGTTGCCATCTTTCAGTGAGACCTTTGAGCCTGCTTCCTCTTCTTTCAAAACACAGGGGCTGGACAAGATTACTAGCCATACACACACCCCTTCCAACTCTAAAATCTTATATTTGATGATTTTACAGCATCCAAGGAATGAGAAAGACAGAAGTCATGTCATTCTCCCATACACAAAATGCCTAAGAGTATCTCTGGGTCTTGCCACACCAGCCTAAGAGCTGCCTAAATACCCCAAGTTGTTTAGAGAGCCTGGGTGTTCCTGGGCCTGAATAAAACATGTAATGCTAAAGAACAAGTCAAACACGGGCATAGTCAGTTGCACTTCTAGGGCAGGAGTGAGGGGTATAGAGGCAACTGGGCATAATGGAATCCCACAGAAAGCCCTTTCCTGGAACAGTTACCTCCTCAATGTGTTGTACTATATAACTGTATTTTCATATCACATCTTGAACGTCCTCAAAGGGACTTTCAAGTTTTAAGATCCATGGTCTCTGAAGTAAAATAATACCAGCTCTTCATATAGTGGGGGAAAGAAGATCATTTGTTATTTTTAAATTAATAAACATGGATACATTTTAGGGCAGAAATCAAAGTCTGCATAAATTCAACAAGATAGAAGCTAACACTTCAAAGGAATTCTGGCTCAGTTAGGCAGCGCCATCCTCTAGCTGGCTTTCCAGAGCTCGCTAGCTAGCTCTGTGGCAGCACAAGCCCAGGCATTGATGGAATGGACACTGACAAGAGTGCCTCAACACAAGGAGTGCCTCCATGCTCTAGAATACTCCTCAGCTACTGGCACATGGGGGTTGGAGGTTGGGGGAAGGAGACACTACAGGTACTACAAGCAGGGCGGGGGGTCTGGAGAACTGCTCTGTATCTTGTATAATCAGGGCACTGTGTGTTAAAACCACAATGAAATAGCATTTTGTTTATCTACCGGCTAGACAAAAATTAAAGTCTGATCATCACAAGTGTTGGCAAGGATGCGAAGTGACCAAAACTCACACCCTACTAGTGGAAGCTTCAATTCCCAAAGCTACTTTGGACAATAATTTGTCATTATCTAATAAATAATAGAGTTGAGGCTAGACATACACTAGGACCTAAGGGTATCAGATAAGACATGTTTTCCCGGAGCCAAGTACAAGAATAATCATAGCGAAAAACAGGAACAATCCACACCTACCAGGAAAATGGAATACCATGGAATTCTCAGGACAGTAACAATGAATGAATCACAGCTATAGACGACCATAAGGGTAAATCTCATTAACATAATGTTGAACAAATAAAAGCAAATCAAGGCAGTGGGATTGCATTTATATAGAAGTAAAAAAATTGTATGAAACTAAAACTATCATTGATTTAGATATAGATGCCTACATGGTAAAACTGTAAAGAAAAGCCAGGAAACAATAAAGCCAAGATAACCACTAGCTCTGGGAACGGGCACAAAGCTTGTGAGGATGGATGCGGCTCTAGTCCTCACACTGCACGACTACATGGCTGTGGCTGTTAGTTTTACTGTTCTTCGTTGTACCCATGCAATAATTATTCTTCCTATGAAGTCAAAACTGACTATTTTAATTTGAAAAAAAAAATAATGATTCTTCTTCTTTGCAACCCAACACATGTGTATTGAGCACCAACTATCATGGTGTGGCTCAAAATACAAAACTGAAAGGAACAGCCCATCTTTCATATTATTTTTTGATGAAACAAAAGTTTTGACAGAAAAAAGGGCCCGGGGCAGGGGATGTACCTTGATCTTGGCGCCCAGCATCTCGGCAGCATCCTTCTCCCGCCGCAGGTCCTCCATCTTTTTCTCTTTCTCCTTCAGCAGCCTCATCTTCTCCTCTGCAACCAAGCTGTGATCTTCCACAATGGCCCGCTTCTCAATCTCCAGTTTTTCTTGCTGTTCCCGCCAGTAATCATCCTTATCATCCCCTTCCTCCTCACCCTCTTCTCCCTCCTCCTCCTCCTCTTCCCCAGCCCCACCACTGCCACCACCTTCCCTCCGCTTCTCTCGCTTCTTCCTTCTGCCAATGGATCTTTTTTCCAGCTGGGCCTTGAGCCGAGCAATCTCTTCTTGGAATTCTCGCAGGAGGGCATCCTTAGGGTCCTCATTAACCCTTGGCTTGTTCTTAATGTTTTTGGCACGGTTGGCATATCTCAGAGTGGTCAGAGTCTCTTCTACATTGTAAGAGGCAGGCCCCACGTTGGCTACCATCACAGTTTTAGCATTGCCACCAAGAGAATCTTGGAGGAGCCTAGTAAGCTTTGAGTCCCGATATGGAATGTGAGTGCTTTTGCCATCTACCAGGGCAGAGATAACATTACCCAAGGCCGAAAGGGACAGGTTGATCTTGGTCGCCTCCTTCAACCTTTCCCCTTGTGCACCAGTCTTGGCTTGCCGTTCGCTGCCAGCAAGATCTACAAGGTTCAATTTCCCTACACGGATATGATTTTCACCATCAAGGCCTACCTCACTACACTCGATGGTGATAACAAAAATTGCATGAGAACGGGAACTATGCTCATTCATGTTGGTAGCACCCACAGAACGGTTCTGGTTCCCCACATTCATCACGTGTTCTATTTCCTTCACGCTCTTAGTGACAAAAGAAGACAGGTCTTTCACATACACCCCAGTGTCAGGCCTCTCTTTGAGCTCAAGCCTTTTGGTCTGATCCTTTGACAGCAGATCTCGGATCTCCTCCTGGTAGATCTCTAAGTAAGAAGCCCTGACCAAGTACTGTTGATTCTGGGATCGAGAGATATGGGTAAAAATGTGGTCAAATGAGTTAGGGATGACCCCTCTTTTTTCAGGGTCACCCCGGACTCCTTCCATTGTGTAAGTTTTCCCCGTCCCAGTTTGTCCATAGGCAAAAATCGTCCCATTGAAACCCTGCAGGACAGAGTCCACAAGTGGTCGGAATGTCTCGTCATAGAGTTCAAACTGCTTGGCATTCCAGTCATAGACGGCGTCAAAGGTGAAGGTCTTGGGCATTTCATGGGCCACTCCTTTGGGGTTCTTCACAGACACCTGCCCCAACTTCACGTCCACGTCCACTACCTTGTCATATGAAGCAGCCTTTTCCTTGCTATTCATAGGCCGACAGCGAACCACCACCCTGACAGACTCTGAGCTTTTTAACTTTGACATGATGAACTCTGACCAGGTCAATCTTGAAGGCTATGAATCCAAAATGCCTCACGATGCTAAGATCCTAGAAAGAAAATCAGAAGTAAGTAAGGACAGTAGAGTTGTCACTGGGGGCTGTTCAACAGCAGCTGACATACCCAAGAAACCTCCATCTTGCTAACCTTCTGATGGCTACATTTATTTTTGCTAAAGGAATGATTCACAACACATTGATAAATACATTAATAACTTTAGCACGCTATATACTTCCTCACAGGACTTTAGCTAGCATCTATAGAAAAAATAAAAACTCCAGTTTACTAGTAGTGTTAACTAGT